CTCCGTGATAAAACTATAACGTTACGATGCCTATTTGACGTTATAAACCACCAACTTATATCTCTAATTCTGTGATAAAACTATAACGTTACCATGCCTATTTGACTTTATAAACCACGAACTTATATATCTAACTCCGTGATAAAACTATAACGTTACGATGCCTATTTGACTTTATAAACCACCAACTTATATATCTAATTTAATTTCGAGATTTTCATAACCTTTCTTGCTTTAGTTCAAGTTAATTTAGACAAACTGGGATGAATACATTGGCAGAGTGTTTTATGATGTTTTGTTAATGACATTGGATTAGCCGGGCCATTGGCTGTTTATGACGAACTTTTCACATTTGAATGTTTTGTTCACATGAAATACGACAGCAAATAATCCCCTAAGAAATCTGATAGCATCCAAGTTCTCAAATAAAGCACCATTATATTTCATAATAGAAAAAAATCTATCTTGGTGGAAATGTTTAAAATAACTCTTACATCCGTCTTTGGCCCGAAAAGATATAAGACTTTGGTAGACGTTTTTCTCTCTATGAAATAGATACCCATTATTGGGGAAATTTAAAAAAAGATGTTGCAATTTAGTTAAACTATATAGTAAGTTGATTCACGGAATTAGATTATGTTATCTGAGCCCTTGATTACGCAACCAATCATCAGAGAACACTTTTCCGGAAAAAAATCCTTTTTTGAGTTTAGATTACACCCTAATGACGTCAACAATAACAAATCCACGTGACCATCCACAAGCGAAGGGTAAGCGTCAGTAGTAGGGAGTCCTGCATTAGTCTAAATCCCGTACTATTATCCACAGAAGTATCAGACCCTAACAGAAACGTCGATTGCAGCACGAAGTGAACAGTTAACCAGGGATGGAAGTTCAGCACCTTGGATAACTGCTTAGGCTTTGCAATATATTATACATATTTTTACGGGAAAAGCTGTCACGCCGACCTGACACAACACGTAACTGGAACAATTTTGCCTGAGGATACACACTATCAACAGGTGTTTATCCCTAGACAGAAATGGCCACTGTTCCCAAAACACCCATACAGACGATCGTCTTCTTTGATCTAGAGGCGACGAGCCTGACAAGGCCACGAATCACTGAACTGTGTCTACTGTCTGTCCAACGCGAGGAGTTCCTGACGCGTAACGGCTCCCCAAGAGTAGTAAACAAACTGACTCTCTGTGTGGACCCACAGAAAGCTATCAGCCCAATAGCCAATAACATGACGGGTACGTGTACACCATCCAAATGAAACGTCCTTGCATATGTCGTTATAGTCATATATGTATATGTTTGAAATTCTTACTGTAAATTAAGAACAAGATGCCCATTCGCTCACATGGTATTAATCTCACACTTATAACCTTTAAAGTGGACCAAAACTCTGTATCTGTGTTGGTTCTGAGTTGACTTCAATTCTGAAGATATCACTCAGGGAGGGTATATGCCAGGGGCGTAGCTATAGGCCCATTGATATGTGTAAGCCCAGGCAAGGGGTATGGGGGCCGCCAAAGGCCCCACCGAGTCCAGGGCAGGTCCCTGGTGGGGGGCACAGGGAAAATGAGTTTTAAGATTTGACGAATCATTCAAATTGTTATCCGAGACAGTTATTTAAAGACATATTTTATTGTTTCACCTCAAGTGAATTTCTAGCCATTTGATTGGTTGGGAGAAAATTAAACAAAAATCTCTGTCACCCTCCGAAAATACATTGGTTTTAAGGGGCGCGGGTGATATTNGAATTAGATATGTCATTCATTAGCAGATGACAGTGAATATTGTCAACCCTTAAAACCCCATTGTCACCCGAGGTAAAGCCTCGGGTGACAATGGTTTTCTCGGGTTGACAATATTCACTGTCACCTGCTAATGAATGTCATATTTATATAGTGTCAAANAAACAAGATGTCATTATCGAGGTTTGCTGCCGTTTTCTTAGCTACAAAGACTTTTGGTGTAACAAATTAGATATGACATTCATTAGCAGGTGACGGTGAATATTGTCAACCCTCAAAAACCCATTGTCACCCGAGGCTGACAATGGTCACTTGCTAATGAATGTCATATTTATATAGTGTCAAATGCGCTGAAATGAAGAACATCACATAACTGATGTTGGCTATTATGTTTATTTTACACGTTGCCCAGTCAACATGTGATTTACAGCTTACAGCTAGAAATCCTAGAGATAAAAGACACTTTCCTTTTCTTTTGTGTTATGAAGGTCTGTACTAAGTTGTCCGTATTTATAGGAATTTCTCTGTGGACATATAGCATTACTAGCGAGGAAAGATGGTCTTGGTTTGTCTTGGTACTAGTCAGTAACAAATATAAAGTGAAACCGACTTCCGCTAAACTATAGTCACATATATAATAAATTACTATTCTAATCATGATTTTAGACATTGCTTATCAGACGCCTTTTGAGTACGTTAATAAAAGCAGCTCATAAAATCAAATGAATTAGTCCCACCCCCTCAAAAAAAAGGAGAAAAATATGTAATTAAAGTTATAAGTATATAAATCCCGACCAATCTACCCTATTTTTTCAGTCATGCTATAACCAGAAGTTTTTTTTCTATCTAACCAGTCTAAATACCATGACGGAAAAGGTCTGGGTCCCACTTTTTTTACAATAATGCTAATTCATATTTTCCCTGTAATAATGTATGAGAAGTCTTCATCAGATCATTTGATTCGAAAAATGAATTCTTTTAGTTTCTATCGACAATATCGTTAAAACCCAAAACTGTCTTAACTACATTGAAGGAAATTCAAATGTGTCCAGGCCCTGTCACTGAGACGGTGTCTTCAATAGATTGTGGACAACTTGTTCTGAATTGATTTCTTGCTGGGATTTAAATCCCATGTCAATGTACAATGGTCCTTGCTGGAGTATCTTTCTTGGATTTGGAGGGTCCAATCACGTGCTTTGCTGTGTGATACTTGGATTTGGAGGGTCCAAGCACGTGCTTTGCTGTGTGATACTTGGGCCTGCGGATGGACTTGTTAGATTATCAGCAATATTTGGATGTACCAGGTTTTTAGTAACATGATGTCATTTTTTGTTTTGTTTCAGTGGCTACTTTTTTGACAAATGGCACACAGATTTTTTATGTGTAAGCCCGGGCTTTGTTTTTTCTATGGATGCTATGCCCCTGTATGCTACACTAGTCAAAGTTTTGTAGTCTGTTCTTGAAATTTTCCAAATAATCCGCCAAAACACAATATTCATCTAAACTGTTCCAGTCCTTAATTGTTCTTGGATTTTTTTATTTTTAAATATTTAATTATATGTCACTCCTGTGACCTTGAAAGTCAAACAAGGACATTACTAGTAAATATAACACAATTTATAGCCCTTTATCCCAGCATCAACTTGTCATTAATTTAAACAAACTTGGTAGTCATTCATCCCAACCTTCTGCTGACCAAATATCATCACCCTAAACTATTTGGTTATTAAGAAGTTGTTTAAAGATTTTAACATGACTTTAAATATTTGCAAAGGTCATTCATTTGAACAAACTTGGTAGCCCTTATCCCAGCATTGTACTGGCCAAATATCATCACCCTAGGCTTCTTGGTTATTCAGAAGAAATTGTTAATTTTTTTAAACATATTTGACCCTGTGACCTTGAATATGGGTGATGTTAGTTAATTTAAACAAACTTGATAGCCCTTTACCCTGCACACAACTGGCAAAATATCATCACCCTAGCCTTTTTACAGAAGAAGTGTTTTTTTTAATTGGTCTATTACTGGAGAACAGGCTAGGTAGCTCAATTGATAGAGTGTCCATCAAGTCACATGCTCTATCATTGTCGCCGGCAAACAACCCAGTCCAGTTCAACTATTTATACAAAACAGGGGAACAGGGATATAGTACTACATGTATATATATATAATTGAGGTGGGGTTTTTTTAAAGTAAAAAGTTGATGCCGGCCAGACGCTGCGCCACGGCATAATAAATCTCAACAAGTCTTTAGCACTTTTATCTTGTCAAGGAGATTCTTCAGACTGTCAATTTGAAATATAAAATAATATATAATTATATAGATTATAAAAGCAGAAAAATTATCTTTACAGACGAAGAAATAATATAAAAAGAAAAAATCTCAACAACGAGTCTTTAGTACTTTTATCTTGTCAAGGAGATTCTTCAGACTGTTTATTTGAAATATAAAATAAAATATATCCTTCAAATAAACAGTCTGAAGAATTCCTTGATGAGATGAAAGTACTAAAGACTCTATATATAGATATGAAGAATAGTACTTTCTCTAGGCCTGTTTACATACATATTTCTCGACTTACAGTCCAAATTTCAAACACCTGTGGGACACTATTTTTCACCATTATTAGTGATTAATAGTTTGGGTTTCAACTTTCATATGATCAAAATATATAGTAAAATATAAGTTTTCTAAACAACTTCTAATTGAAACTGTTGAGTAATAAAAAAAAATACAATTTCCATTTTTGGAAACAGAAGCTTTTTTCTAGTTGTGGGAAGTTATAAATATTTGGAAAGTGAAACAATTGATGTAGAACAAGCTATGTAGGCTAGCTAGTATTTTACCAGGTGCATGACATAAGCAAGCTTTTTGTATCTATTTTTCAGGTCTGTACAATGACAGTCTGGAATCTCAAACACCATTTGACAATAAGGTAGTCGACATAATGGCTCATTTCCTGTCCAGACTACCACAGCCAGTCTGTCTGGTAGCACATTATGGACATGGCTTTGACTACCCACTTCTCAATGCAGAGTTGAAACGTGCCAAGTGTGAGCTGCCTTTGGATGTGGTGTGTGTTGACAGTCTGGAAGCTATCCGGGCCATAGACATGCAGACCCTGTATGAGCAGGAGCAGCAACGCATAGACATGCAAAACCAAAACAATTCCACACCAACACATCGGGGAATCCAGTCAGGTCAGGGTGTACAGCCAAGCAATTCCACACCAACACATCGGGGAATCCAGTCAGGTCAGGGTGTACAGCCAAACAATTCAACAACTCCTGAACTTCAGACACAACCCACACATACTGCCACTGTCAAGCAAGACACCATGCTTGCAAAACGCAAAGCAGATGCAGGAAGCATTGAACATGTCAGGAAAAGGCTTTTTACTGATTCAGACAAAGTAGCAAAAGAGGTTGAAAACAGTGAGGACAAAACTAAAGTAGAAATGGCTTGTTGTAAAGAAAAACAAACTGTGGAAGCCACAAGACAACTGGTACAAAATCTACATGAAATAAACCCAGAAACAGCTGTTGTACCAACACCTTCACGCGACACACCAGAACAGCCCAAGGCTCAGGAGGAACAGAATGTAGGACTGCAGTCTATAGCAGCGTCTTCAGTACTCGACTCCCAGCAAAGTGTCACGGACGACATGCTCATGGAAGCTGTTGAAAGTGTCGAGGCAGATGAGAACTTTGAAAAGGCTGGTACATCTATGACAAAATGTCCTCCTTCTGTCAGTAATGTGACTCTCAAACCTTCTACACAGAGAACCAGTCCTCCTCAGGCACACGTTATGTGTTCTAACAATGACAGCAATAGTGGTACAGGAAATGACAAAGCTGGTTTACCAGGGACAAGTGTCTCTGTGCCTGGAAACAGTGGGGTGTGTTTTACAGGAAATGTCAATGCTCAATTACCAGAGACAAGTGGCGTCCATGATGTCAAGTCAATAGATAGAGTCCCCAACAACGGCTTTCAGTCGGCGCAGCCATCAGCGGGTGATACAGTTAGATGTAAAACATCAATAGATCAGTTACACACACCTGTTAAATCTAGTAACAACAATGTAACACCTGTAACCACTGGCGTCAACAACAACAACAATTCAGTCACCAATCAGGACCACGTTACTCCCATGGTTCTGCCAAAATTGTCGTACAAACTAGAAGAGATATATTATCGTACTTTTGGTCAGAAACCACCTTTGTCTCATAATGCTGAGGACGATTGTATAACCTTGATGAAAGTTTGTAAAAAGAGGTGTCCTCAGTTCTTAGAGTGGGTTAACAAACACCAGGTGTTACTGTCTACTCTGCCTCCTATGTATTAAACAATTGTCTTGTAACCAAGTGGGTATATGTACCAACAACAGATGTCACCTATGTACAGAGCAGGTACATGTCCTCTACCTGGAGACCCTAAACCATACAGTGTGGGTAGATTAAAGACCAACACCTGTGTCGCTGTCTAACCCATCACCTATGTACAGAGCAGGTACATGTCCTCTACCTGGAGACCCTAAACCGTACAGTGTGGGTAGATCAAAGACCAACACTAGGTGTCGCTGTCTAGCCCATCACCTATGTATTGGATATCTGTAATCAGTCTAAGACTGAATTAACAGTGCAGTGGATAGACCAACACCAGGTCTCACCTTTGACTTATGTATTGATTGGTCGTCCTCGATTTGCAGATCTTGAACCATACCATGGGTAGACCAACATCGGGTATCCTTATTTAGTGTGTTACTGATGTATTGAATAAATGTGGGTAGACCAACATCACGTATCCCTATTTAGTATGTTACTGATGTATTGAATAAATGTGGGTAGACCAACATCACGTATCCCTATTTAGCATGCTACTGATGTATTGAATAAATGTGGGTAGACCAACGTCAGGTATCCCTATCTAGTATGTTACTGATGTATTGTATAAATGTGGGTAGACCATCATCAGGTATCGCTATCTAGTATGTTACTGATGTATTGAATAAATGTGGGTAGACCATCATCAGGTATCGCTATCTAGTATGTTACTGATGTATTGAATAAATGTGGGTAGTCCATCATCAGGTATCGCTATCTTGAATGTTACTGATGTATTGATTAAATGTGGGTAGACCAACGTCAGGTATCCCTATTTAGTATGTTACTGATGTATTGAATAAATGTGGGTAGACCAACATCGGGTGTCATATATCTGGTGGGAAGTAGATTTGAGACCGTGTAGTTTATATAGAGCTGTGACAGATAACTGTTTAATATGTATGGAAACTTTGGACCAATATATATATACTTGTTGTCTGTTACATGTTAGTAGTTTTTTTTTACCATATTGAAGTTTATTTGTTTTGTCTTTATATATAATATATTTATGATATTACTATACATAAGTTAACATACTTCACCTTATTCACAAACAACTTCTGTGGCAGGTATTCACAAACAACTTCTGTGGCAGGTATTCACAAACAACTTCTGTGGCAGGTATTCACCCTAAACCTCCATATCTTGATCTCACGATTGATCAGGAGTTAAGATTGTTTTTAAATCTCTGTGTGTATTATATTTTGATCTTTATATTTTTGAAAAAGTATTTGAAGGGTTTTTAAATGTCTATTTGGCTAATAATATGATTGTGTTCCAGATTTAGAACGCATATGTAGTTATTTAAATTCAGAGCATTTATATTGAGACATTGTGAAGGGCAGTCTATCATTATGATGGTCTCCTTCTGTAATCTTTTAACAATGTTTACAATACACACTTTGTACAACTGGTTATTTTTTATTAATTACATCCAACCCAATCTTGATATTTTGCAGGTATATTCATGAGAACCAAGATATTGAGCCTATCATTAATGTATATTGTTGAGAGTAAATACAATGTTTCATTGTAATACAAATGTAAACAGTTTATTACCTGTTACCCTTGTTTGATGGAGTAAGTGCAGTGTAGTACATGTTTATAAACATTGTTGAGTTTAACCATTCTACAAAGCAGCAATATAGTATAGATATTATTGCATTAAGCTGTTTTATCACTATGCAATGTGTAGTATCAGACCTTCTACCCAGTGAATATAGTATATATGTGTAATATATCTTGTTGAATTTTACTGTTTTATTACTATGTAATTTAGTATAAAGACTTTTAGGAGTCTTGGAAACATCAAACATATTTTGAATATTTTTAAAGTTGTATTATCATCGTTGATAGTTTCAAGAAACCTATATTGTCCTGAATTCTAGAAATGTTTGTGTAATGTTCTGTATCACTGTTGTAGATTAGTTTAGTTACAGATTCCTGTAGGTGTTTACTTGAGAACCTAGCTGTTATACATTATATACAGCCATACAAGTACATATGGTTGGTATGGGGAGGTTCCAGGACTCAGACCGAGTAGTTTACATATAAATATACAGCTATACATAGTATAATAGCTTTGATGGGGATTTTTGTCACCGATTTATTTTTTTGACCGTTTACCACTGAATAATACCACTTTAACATCAGCTAAAAATTTGAAAATATTAAACTTACGAAGTGAAGTCTCTAATGGGAGGGCAAAATTCATTTAACAGCTACAAGGCAAAACTTTAGCTACAGCCAGAATTGGATCATCAAATTGAAATTATCTCAGTGTTAAAACTGCCCTCCAAATTCTCCACAGAAGTTATTATTATAATTCAGTTATTAGTAAAGTCCAAGGTTACTTTCTGAATTGATAAATATACAGTGTACCATAACTCTGGCCGTGCCATATGTACTAGTGTTTTAACAGGTGCTTGATATTAGATCATTGTGATAGCGCTGATGGACGCAGACATCCTTTATTAGATAATTATATAATCATACATGCTTGTTTTTTTTGGTAATATTTTGTATGATTTTTCTTCAGAACTTTATCATTGTTGTGTATAACATATATAAAAAGTAAGTATTTACATGTTCATTACTAAATATATACATGTCATCTAATAACATTTTAATTGTTTATTGATATTATTTTTTATGATATTTGTTCAGAATTTTATCATTTTAAAAACACAAATATTTACATGTTTATTACGAAATATATACATGTACCACCTTTAAAGATTTTAACCATAGCTATATTTAGACCTTAACATCTTTTACCTTCTGTGGAAACCGTAGCCAGTACTTCTACATTTTAGTGAATTTATTATAGTCTAGTCAATCTTATGTGAATGTCTGGATCCTATTGACCATATTTTGAAAACATTTATATGATTTTAAGAAATAGAAATAAATGAGTTGATACTATTCAGTGTGCGAGTCCTTTGTTCTGTAACTTTCACACCAACATGTACAAGTTCTTCAGTGTGCGAGTGTTCTGTAACTTTCACACCAACATGTACAAGTTCTTCAGTGTGCGAGTGTTCTGTAACTTTCACACCAACATGTACAAGTATTTTGTTCTGTAACACACCAACATGTACAAGAATTTTGTCCTGTAACACACCAACATGTACAAGTATTTCAGTGTGCTAGTGTCCTGTACCTTTCACACCAACATGTACAAGTATTTCAGTGTGCAAGTGTTCTGTAACACACCAACATGTACAAGTATTTTGGTCTGTAACACACCAACATGTACAAGTATTTTGGTCTGTAACACACCAACATGTACAAGTATTTTGCTCTGTAACACACCAACATGTACAAGTATTTTGCTCTGTAACACACCAACATGTACAAGTATTTTGGTCTGTAACACACCAACATGTACAAGTATTTTGCTCTGTAACACACCAACATGTACAAGTATTTTGTCCTGTAACACACCAACATGTACAAGTATTTCAGTGTGCTAGTGTCCTGTACCTTTCACACCAACATGTACAAGTATTTCAGTGTGCTAGTGTCCTGTACCTTTCACACCAACATGTACAAGTATTTCAGTGTGCGAGTCCCTTGTTCTGTAACTTTCACACCAACATGTACAAGAATTTTGTTCTGTAACACACCAACATGTACAAGTATTGTGTTCTGTAACACACCAACATGTACAAGTATTGTGTTCTGTAACACACCAACATGTACAAGTATTGTGTTCTGTAACACACCAACATGTACAAGTATTTCGTTCTGTAACTTTCACACCAACATGTACAAGTTCTTCAGTGTGCGAGTGTTCTGTAACTTTCACACCAACATGTACAAGAATTTTGTTCTGTAACACACCAACATGTACAAGTATTGTGTTCTGTAACACACCAACATGTACAAGTATTTCGTTCTGTAACTATCACACCAACATGTACAAGTATTTCGTTCTGTAACTTTCACACCAACATGTACAAGAATTTTGTTCTGTAACACACCAACATGTACAAGTATTTTGGTCTGTAACACACCAACATGTACAAGTATTTTGTCCTGTAACACACCAACATGTACAAGTATTTCAGTGTGCAAGTGTTCTGTAACACACCAACATGTACAAGTATTGTGTTCTGTAACACACCAACATGTACAAGTATTTCGTTCTGTAACTTTCACACCAACATGTACAAGTATTTTGCCTTTTCACAGTCATGGAAATCATTACTCTGAAACATAGTTTGTCATGTTTGTCTGTATGCCGAGGTTTGACAGATCAGAAGGGTTTTGCTAGACGAAGCAGTGTTGTCATTAAAGCTATGACAGGTTTCATTGTACATGTGATAAAAGCCACCTAGCTTTGTGTGAGAGGGAGTTAACCTTTAGCACAATAGTGAGAGCCACAGGCTGAGAAACCTAGGGGGGGGATCACCGACACCAGTGAAAGTAGTACGAAGTAATTTACATAATTTTTGTCGTATTACAAAATGCTGTCTGTAACCTTCAAAAGTGGGGATTATTGTGACAGGTTTTAATTGTACACTTGATCACAATCTCAACCTGACTAATCTCTGCTCCGATGATTGATTAAAGGTCAAAAAGACAAAATTACTTATTTTGACCCCAATAATAGGTTAAAGGTCATACAGACAACCTCACTTATCCCAGCTCGAATGATGGTTAAAGGTGAAGTTAGTGTTTCAGCCCAAGAATGTCAGAGCTCAGCTCCAGGGCTGCAATTCAGATACAGGAGGTCAGCAACATGATTTGGGGCATTCAGCCTCGACTTGTGGAAGTCAGCAGCAAATAATAACCCAACACAGGAGTTTGCATCTCATCCTAAGCTAGCAGAATCTCAACACAGGAAGTCAGCACCTGGAGATCAGGTCCTAAGAAATAAGTACTTCAGTCCCAGGAGGTCAGCACCAGGGGACTAGAACCTCAACAGCTGCTCATCTGCAGGTCAATGGCTGGCGGTCGGTTCCTCTGTCTTAAGCAAGAGATAAGCATCTCAGTTCAAGGTCAGCACCTAAATCCCAGGAAGTTGGTTCTTCAGCCCAAGAGGTCAGCACAAGGTGACCTCAACACCAGGTGATTAGAACCTCAATCCCAGGTCAGGAGCCTAGTGTTTTAACCCTAAGAAGTCAGCACTCCAGCACCAGGAGTATAGCACCTCTTTAACACAAAGTGATAAGAACCTCAACACCAGGTCAGGAGCCTAGTGTTTTAACCCTAAGAAGTCAGCACTCCAGCACCAGGAGTATAGCACCTCTTTAACACAAAGTGATAAGAACCTGAACACCAGGTCAGGAGCCTAGAGTTTTAACCCTAAGAAGTCAGCACTCCAGCACCAGAAGTATAGCACCTCTTTAGCACCAGGCGATCAGAACCTCTTCAGCACAAGGTCAGGAGCCTAGAGTTTTAACCCGAAGAAGTCGGCACTCCAGCACCAGGAGTATAGCACCTCTTTAGCACCAGGTGATCAGAACCTCAACACCAGGTCAGGAGCCTAGAGTTTTAACCCGAAGAAGTCGGCACTCCAGCACCAGGAGTATAGCACCTCTTTAGCACCAGGCGATCAGAACCTCTTCAGCACCAGGTCAGGAGCCTAGTGTTTTAACCCTAAGAAGTTGGCACTCCAGCACCAGAAGTATAGCACCTCTTTATCACCTGGTTATCAGAACCTCAACACCAGGATGCCGGGAGTATTGAACAAATCTATGTGAGAACACAACACAAAACAGCTCTATTTTGTTAAAAAGTTTGTTTTAATTTTTCATTTTGTGCTTTGTTTTTCCTTTTAGATTCTTTTTGAACTTTGATAAGGCATCTGATCCAAGACCACTCCCAAACTCTGACACTGCTGTTCTCTTGAACTTTAACCTGTAGCAGATGAAAACAATTAACATCAGTTTAATTGACAAGGTATTATATTTATTATGATATACACTTGATTAATAATTTCAAACGGAAGATTTATTTGCTATCCATGAATCTGCTTTACTGACAGAATTAATTTAATATGAAACAGTACCTTTTATACAAATACAGGATTGACGTCCAAATCAACACTATATCTGTCATGCTGCACATATTTTTATTTGTTTCTCATTTTAGCAGAATCAATGGAACAACCAAGTATAAGCCTCAATCAAACTACTACACCACCCCTGACACAATATTGTTGATCTCTATATATGACTTTACCAGCTTCAGTAATTGCTACAAAATCCCTGTGACCTTGTTGACCCTATATGACCCTTACTAACCTCAGTGAAGCTTTGACCCTGTAACCCTGGTGACCCCATGTGACCAGAGTCTGTAGCCTACTTTGCCTTGTCTATTTGGCTCAGTGACATTTAACGTAGTACCTATAGCTACATTGTCTTGTTATTTTGACCTTGTTATGTTGTGACCCTGTTATGTTGTGACCCTGTGACTTTTTTATGATCAGTCTCTATATCTAAACAGCCTTGTCCTTGTTATGGCCCTGTTACCACCTGACCCTGTAACCTAGTGACCTTGTTATGTTGTGACCCTGTGACTTTTTTACTTGTCCTTGTTGAAGCCCTGTTACCACATGCCCTGTAACTTTGTGATCCTGAGACCTCTGAATGACTCGCCTTTTTAACTTATTCACCCCTGAAATTTTATAATGCACTATTCCAGTTTTTGAATTGGAAGAGTTCAAATGCGTCTTCAGGGGTGAACGAGTTAATTACAGTACTTTGCCTTGTAGCCCCTGTGACCTTGTAATATTGTGATCCTATGACATCATCAGCTTGAGATGCTATGACCCCTTTTAACCAATCTCTATACCTTGCCATGTCATTTAGACCATGTATTCCTGTTGACCCTGAAGTATGTACAGCCTATCTTGCCTTAACACCTTTGACCCCACACCATGTTGAACCCAGTATAACCTGTTTATAAGCTTACCTTGCCTTGTCACCTTTGACCCTATACCAAGTTGACCTCAGTATGACCTACCTTGACTTGTCCTGGTGTCCCTGTTTATCACGGTGTGCCTTCCCGGCCGGTCGTTTGATCTTTGATGGTGATTCTCTCAGACCAAAACTTTTAGCAAGGTGGCCCAGGTGAAGGTGTTTTATGTGAAATATAGATTTCAGCTCTGATGGGTAGGTAGCGTAGGCTTTCACAAACGACTGAAACCCTGCAAATAGACAGTTCAGTGTCACTCCCTGTTTATCTTCTGATAGGACAAGACATATCATATGACCACATGATGGGGTGACTAACTAATTTGTCAGAGGCTAAGGTGAAAGATGATTAACAGTTTCATAAATTCTCTTGTTTCTTTACTGACACACTACTTCACTTTTTGTTCCCAGATATGAAACATATTTTCTTACAAAAAAATAAAAAATAAAAAAATCATTTGTTACTGACTTGAAGGAATCTTCATCATACTGAATCATTAAGTTTAATGCCTTGTGGAGTCGGTATAAGTGACCTTGAGCCGTATTAAGTAAGGTTAATTACAGTTTGGTTGTGTTACCTTTTACAGCTAAATCTGTTTTCTGTGGGCTACCATTGGTGTACTCTTCCACACACATCTGTAAGTACGTTGCTGCTTCCTCACTAGTTCTTGGTAGCTCCCTCTGGTGGAGAAACAAACAACAGAATAGATCCAAGGAGGTCACAAATAAGTAGAATACTGGTATATTATACGGCACTGATTATATAATAACAGTACATATACACATCAATATTAATACATGTACCATGTTTTGTTCTTAGGTTCCTATGTGGGCACCAATCTTACAGAGGTCATTACATGTTTATGCTTCCACAAGCAGTTGAACTGGGGACCGCTGATTTACTAGTCTTGCACTCTACAGAATGAGCTAGACATTCTCCCTAGCCTAGTCGCAAGGAAGTGGCTAGTATTTTGTACCTGGGTGACAACTACACTAAGTACCAGTAACTTTGACATTTCCCCCTGGTATGTTGTGACAATGCTAATCTACCACATATATAGTGTTGAAGTATTTTGTTTTTTGTCATTAGAGCTGAAGCAATGAGGACCACTAACCTGGTTGTCACCTCCTTGTATGTCTGTCACCACACCTAGTAACCTGTCCAGTACACTCACCACTAACCTGGTTGTCACCTCCTTCTATGTCTGTCACCACACTTAGTAAACTGTCCAGTACACTCACTACTAACCTGGTTGTCACCTCCTTGTATGTCTGTCACCACCCCTAGTAACCTGTCCAGTACACTCACCACTAACCTGGCTGTTGCCTCCTTGTATGTCTGTCACCACACTTAGTAACCTGTCCAGTACATTCACTACTAACCTGGTTGTCACCTCCTTTTATATCTGTCACCACACTTAGTAAACTGTCCAGCACACTCACCACTAACCTGGCTGTCGCATCCTTGTATGTCTGTCACCACACTTAGTAAACTGTCCAGTACACTCACCACTAACCTGGCTGTCGCATCCTTGTATGTCTGTCACCACACTTAGTAAACTGTCCAGTACACTCTCCACTAACCTGGTTGTCACCTCCTTGTATGTCAGTCACCACACTTAGTAAACTGTCCAGTACATTCACCACTAACCTGGTTGTTGCCTCCTTGTATGTCTGTCACCACACTTAGTAAACTGTCCAGAACTCTGTTCATCTGCAGCTCCTCTAGGCTAGACAAATCAAAACAACACATTAATGTGATGTACATTACCACATTTCTAGGCTAGCCAAATCAAAACAACACATTAGTGAGATGTACATAACCACATTTCTAGGCTAGCCAAATCAAAACAACACGTTAGTGAGATGTACATTACCACATTTCTAGGCTAGCCAAATCAAACCAACACATTAGTGAGATGGACATTACCACATTTCTAGGCTAGCCAAATCAAAACAACACATTAGTGAGATGTACATTACCACATTCCTAGGCTAGACAAATCAAAACAACATATTAGTGAGATGTACATTACCACATTTCTAGGCTAGACAAATCAAAACAACACATTAGTCAGACTACATTTTAAGTAGAATAAATAGTGCACCTCTGGGAGAGGAAAATGGCTTAGAGCATAAGCAAAGAGTATATTTACCTAATTTTGTTTTGGTTGAGGCGAGGGACATATTCCACCTCTGAGGGCATCAGGAAGAGCAGTGAGTGTCCCAGATTGCCTGCGCGGGCCGTTCGGCCGATCCTATGGACATAATCACTGGTTGACCCTGGGGGTGTGTACTGCACAATCCATCGTACATTTGGTAGGTCAAGGCCACGACAGGCCACATCCTACAAAAGAAACAAGTGTCACAGCTACAGCACTCTCATCATAACTAATAGTGGCATCACACATAACCATACAAACTCTACTACAAACTGTCTTTCAATGATATCTTAATTAGTTTTAGCAAGGCAAGGGTAGAGCCAACGCCGTGGTTTTCTTAATGGTGGAATAACTTGATCCTTTGCTCCTCGTCTGGATACCCGAAAGTATGCAGGGGATTGAGTAAAAGTGAGAACATCATAAAATAGGTTCAATCACAACAGGCGAAGGAGCAATAACTTATACTTGTAGTTTACTTGTAGTTTATAAGAAGTGTCGACCGGTTTCGCCCCACAGTGGGCTTCTTCAGGATGTTAATTAGTTTTAGATACATGTATTTATGTTTTAGATACATGTATTTATGTTTTAGATACATGTATTTATGTTTTAGATACATGTATTTATGTTTTAGATACATGTATTTAAGTTTTAGATACATGTATTTAAGTTTTAGATACATGTATTTATGTTTTAAATTCCTACTGTATACCGGGACCTTTTCGCTAGGTCAAACTTCGGCCCTTCCACGGTAAAATCCATATTCCCCCAGTTTTACTATGTCCTTCACATTTTATTTCTACATTGTATGTATATTATGTTGTTTCCTGATGTTTGCTGAAATGATAAATTTGCCCTCAATGCGTAAGGCAAAAAAGGTGAAAATAAAAATGCAGGAACATTTCCTGGTTTACAATATTACAAGTCTAGTTTTGTATTATTCCTACTGCTAATGATAATGTCTTTAACCTGAACATGTTTTCAGAGAAGAATTTGTGTTATTAGATTAGATTTGATGATAGGGATAGCATACATAACTTGGCATAGAATTTCTGGCAACTGAATCGACCAGATAAAAAAGACATTTAACTGTTGACATTCTGCTCTGTTGGTTCCATTCAATCCAGATGGATTAGTCCCAGCCTACTGACAAATTATCTGGTGGAACACTGCCATCCTTTTAGGGGGAATCATGTGGTCTTGGTCAATTAAAGCCCTAGTTTTATGTGCTGTTTGAATGACTCATAATAACTTTGCTTTGTTTCCAATCTGGCCAGCTCAAGTATATACATGTATATAAACCAATGTAATACATCGATCTACTTTGATTATTAATAGATACACGTCTCAATTAAATAATTTTTAATAAAAAGCAACATTGGAGTTGTTAAGAACCACTGGTAGCAAGCAAAGGTATATACATATGACAACAAGAAATTGGGGGCCCATATATGTTAGCTGGTACTTACTGTGCAAAATAAGATTCCAGACTTTGCTTTCGAAAAATTCTGGTACACACTGGCACGATCCTAGGGATGAACAAGGATATACAGGTAAATCAATGCTCATTGGACATTTGTTTGATCACTTGTGAGTAAATTCAACAGAATCAAATCAAATTGTATACAATATCAAAGACGAGTACAGTATGTGATATTGTGTGAGATAAGGAAGGTACAAACCTTCTGTGCCATTTCTCCATGCAGCCTGAAGAAATCCAGATTATCTGTTTCCACCTTCTTTTTGCTATGGTCTAGATCAAGGTCTGCAAGAACATCAGGCACAGAGTTACCTCCCCCAAAGAAGTGATGGAATACAGCGTAATGGAACTCGACTGAACCCTGGGTTGGCAGGAACACCAGCATCTTACCAGTTTTCTGTTTCATCTAGTAACACAACTCACAGATAAAGCAACAAGGTCAGCACAACAATAGCACACCTGGCAATGATGGAAGGATACTGATATAACAACAGCACATGTACTTATAACAAAAAGGGCAAGACAATGATAAAATGAAACTAGGCTCAGTTAACAGGAAGTAATTCTTACAGGGAGTGATGCTTACCTTACACTTTTGTGCAATGTGACCTGCCTCAGTTTACCGGGAGTGATGCTTACCGTACACTTTTGTGCAATGTGACCAGTCTCACCTTACATACAGGGAGTGATGCTTACCTTACACTTTTGTGCAATGTGACCTGCCTCAGTTTACACGGAGTGATGTTTACCTTACACTTTTGTGCAATGTGACCCGTCTCAGTTTACAGGGAGTGATGCTTACCTTACACTTTTGTGCAATGTGACCAGCCTCAGTTTACAGGGAGTGATGCTTACCTTACACCTCTGTAGAATGTGACCAGCCTCAGTTTACAGGGCGTGATGCTTACCTTACACTTTTACACAATGTGACGAGCCTCAGTTTACAGGGAGTGATGCTTACCTTACACCTCTGTAGAATGTGACCAGCCTCAGTTTACAGGGCGTGATGCTTACCTTACACTTTTACACAATGTGACGAGCCTCAGTTTACAGGGAGTGATGCTTACCTTACACCTCTGTACAATGTGACCTGCCTCAGTTTACAGGGAGTGATGCTTACCTTACACCTCTGTACAATGTAACCAGCCTCAGTTTACAGGGAGTGATGCTTACCTTACACTTTTACACAATGTGACGAGCCTCAGTTTACAGGGAGTGATGCTTACCTTACGCTTTTGTACAATGTAACCAGTCTCATTTTACATACAACGAGTGATGCTTACCTTACACTTTTGTACAATAAATGCTGCCAATGTGACAAGCCTTAGTTTACAGGGAGTGATAATGAAGTGTTGTTTAAGATTCTCTGGAACACTGAAAGACACAGTATCTGCTGATGTTTCTGACGACTCTTCTGTCTTGATGGTCTGGTTGGTCTCCGTAGTGACGTCCGACTGGGACAGATCAACACGGACAGGATCTGTTAGAGAGATTCCGGCCATCTTCTGTACTCCTACAAACATACATATCTTAAATCGTGACAAAATCTGATAATAGTTTTGAACAAGCAAACTTGTGGAGTTTATATCCCCCGCTTGCAGGACATATTGTAGGTAAACATTATTGAGGTTAGGTTTAAACATGTGAGTATCGTGCTGTTGAGACATAATGTATAGCCTGAAACTCGAAGAAAAAAAAGCCTTATACAGAAGTTAGCCTTTTTATTGAACATGTAGGTATTACCGTGTTAATTAATCGTTTAATCCATCAGAATTTACTAACCTCATTTATTATCTGTAAATATGCACAAATAACATTGATTGGCAAACTTAGCATGAGTCAGATGTGCATACGGAATTTGGATGAAATATCTGCACAATATCTACAGCAATTATCACATGAAAACCAAAGAGTGCCTGAGAATGGTGGAAAGACAGAGGAACACAAACATTGTCACTAAGTTTGAAGACAATAGAATAATATTTGCTAGAGTAAATGAACAGAAAAGGCAAATAATGACGATTTTTGTTATTCAAGGGGCCATAACTCCGCCAAATAAAGTCCACTGAAAGTGGTCATCGATAATCACGGTAAAGGGAGATAAACCTTTCACCAATATATAGTTAGACAGGTGGAGACTTACCCTCCGATAGTGTGGCTGACAACAACACAGTCTGCCTTGGTTTGGTATCAGACTTTATCAGTTCCTGTGATAGCTGAGCTGATCGGGCCATGTTTAGGGAGTTGATTATCTGAGCTATATCCTTTTCATATCCCATGTCCAGCATCCTGACAAACAAACACATTTTTATTTTACACTTTCCAATATTAATGAAATTTTAGATGTTAAAAAGACAAGATACAGAACATTACTGAACCAATGGGATAAAACAGTCAGGGTGTTGTTCTGGTTGTGTCAAAATTAAGTTTTGTCTGGGTTTAAATTGAACTCAAATTTCCACACTGGAGAGGGTTGTTTTCTCCCACATTTTCACCAAAACTTTGGTCAAAATTGACAACAAACTTTCAAAAGCAGCACCAAATATAGAGAACTTTGTAAATGAGGTTACATTTCAACAGAAGAAACAAATATCAACCATTAAATATTTGATATCAAAATAAGATCTGCATCATTCTAAGAGACTGAGTGGTTAGCTGACATGCTATAAAAAATGTATGAGAAAATCTCTGGACAAAAAATCAAATACTGAAATGAACAAAGGGCAATAACTTTTGCAAAAATTGTCGTATCAAAATTCTTTAAAGGGAGACACAACTTCATATCATGATTATAATGTATAAATTAGTTTCAAAGAGATCAGTTGAAAAATGTAGGAGGAGATTGCCGGACAAACAAAAGTTTACGCTGGACGGACGGATGGACAACCCCATACCAGAAAAACAAATAGAAATCAGTAAAGGGGCTGAATTCCCTTAAAAACAAGAAAAGGCGTAAAACTCCCAAGTGTAATGATTACATTTGTGAAGTTTTCACGCAAGTTCAATTTAAACTGATGGAGTTGGGTAGACAATATTCTGCTTATAATTTAGTAATTGAGACTCTGATAAAAATAGTAAAATCAAACAGTAAGCACAGGTGCACAGCTACAGAAAGTGGTGACTACATAGGTGGTGTCTCATTGTCTTAGTTAAGTAAAGAAACTGTGAGCGAGCCAAGTAATAAAAAATCCTCAAACAGTAAAGGAGGAGTTGTACTTAAGGACTTCCCACCCTTCGTAATACACATGTTTTTCTTGTCGTATTTTCGTGTCGTCATTTCCGTATTGCGTATGTGTAATCACACGTACTTCAGAAATAAATCGTATGATACAAAGACATTAATTAGTTCATGGGAAGACACTGACATACGATCAGACGACTTCAAGAAGGTTGTATATGAGGCGCATGGAATGCAGACTGATGTGTTTTGATTACCAACCTCACCTGTACGTATCACGTGCTAACAGTAGTTCACAAGCTCTTGGTCGCTACGCAATTGTTGTCGAGCGAGTCACGCTCTGTCAGATAAATCGTTTCACAAATGCAATTACAATAACTCTGTGAAAATAGTGGTTTGTAAAATATCAAGATCCCTATAAATTGCAGGTGAATGTGCGTGCACGTGATAACGGCAGCCATGCGATAGCCTATGGTTACCTATGTACCTGACATGTTAATATACAATGCATAAGTGGGCTATGGAATGATGTCCAAAGAGTACATGATTGAGAGTAATTTTGTTCCATAAAAGAACAGTAAATTGACAATTAAATATAGTAATTTAATTCATTTTCGTCATTTTTGGTATATTAAAGAAAATAAGTGTCATTGTAAAAATTCTATCCCTCTCCAAAAAGGTCCGATTTTTTTCAAGGTAGACAACTCTCATCAGGATCAAAATTATTGTGAAATATTTGTAGGATTGATTAGCAATGTTTCTTTTCATTATTTTATTGTTGCAATAGTTTTGAACAATATCACACCATCAAAAAATATGAAAGTGTTGAATTTGACAAAAAATCATTTTTTCTGTATTTTTTTACAAAAAAAATCCCCAGTTTATCGGAATGATTAGATTTTCATAAAATCACCTCTACATAGGGATGTGACCATTATGTGAAACTTTCATTGAATTCTGCTGGCTAATTGTGAAAGGGTGGAGCCTCCTTAAAGGTTTCTGGAGCAGAACATTTCAAGGGTAAAACATTCAAGGGCCATAACTCCAGGGAATGGTCGTACAAGGTGTATCACAAACTCCTTACTTCATGCACATCTACAAAGAATGTAGTTTCACTGTGCCAAGTAACAAAGAATGTAGTTTCACTGTGCCAAGTACCAAAGAATGTAGTTTCACTGTGCCAAGTAACAAATTCCAACAAACCGTAAAGGAGGAATATCTAGAGCAAAACGTTTCAAGGGCCATTACTCCAGAAAAATAGTTGAATCGCAAATTATTTCTTCATTCACATCTACATATGATGCAGTTTCACTGTGTCAAGTTACAAACAATTCCAACAATGTGCTAAGGAGGAAGGGGTTGTTATAATGTTTTGAAAGAGAAAAAACCCATCAAAAACAAGTACTGATAGCTTTATCTCTAAGTCCAGCCTCTGTACTGATGTACCTACCTGTCAGCCTTGTCTATATCATGCCTATGTACTGATGTACCTACCTGTCAGCCCTGTCTATATCCAGCCTCTGTACTGACAAATTTACCTGTCAGCCTGGTTTATATCCAGCCTCTGTACTGATGTACCCACCTGTCAGCCTTGTCTATATCCAGCCACTGTACTGATGTACCTACTTGTCAGCTTTGTCTAAATCCAGCCTCTGTACTGATGTACCTGCCTGTCAGCCTTGTCTATACCCAGCCTCTGTACTGATATACCTACCTGTCAGCCTTGTCTATATCATGCCTCTGTACTGATGTACCTACCTGTCAGTCTTGTCTATATCCAGCCTCTGTACTGATGTCCCTCCCTGTCAGCCTTGTCTATATCCAGCCACTGTACTGACACAGTTACCTGTCGGCCTGGTCTATATTCAGCCTCTGTACTGACACGATTACCTGTCAGCCTGGTTTATATCCAGCCTCTGTACTGACGTACCTACCTGTCAGCCTTGTCTATACCCAGCCTCTGTACTGATATACCTACCTGTCAGCTTTGTCTATATCCAGCCACTGTACTGACACAGTTACCTGTCGGCCTGGTCTATATTCAGCCTCTGTACTGACACGATTACCTGTCAGCCTGGTTTATATCCAGCCTCTGTACTGATATACCTGCCTGTCAGCCTTGTCTATACCCAGCCACTGTACTGACACAATTACCTGTCGGCCTGGTCTATATCCAGCCTCTGTACTGACATGCCTACCTGTCAGCCTTGTCTATATCATGCCTATGTACTGCTGTACCTACCTGTGAGCCTTGTCTATATCCAGCCTCTGTACTGATACAATTACCTGTCAGCCTGGTTTATATCCAGCCTCTGTACTGATGTAATGTACCTACCTGTCAGCCTGGTCTATATCCAGCCTCTGTACTGACAAATTTACCTGTCAGCCTGGTTTATATCCAGCCTCTGTACTGACGTACCTACCTGTCAGCCTTGTCTATATCATGCCTATGTACTGATGTACCTACCTGTCAGCCTTATCTATATCCAGCCACTGTACTGATATACCTACTTGTCAGCCTTGTCTATATTCAGCCTCTGTACTGATGTACCTACCTTTCAGCCTGGTCTATATCCAGCCTCTGTACTGACATGCCTACCTGTCAGCCTTGTCTATATCATGCCTATGTACTGATGTACCTACCTGTCAGCCATGTCTATATCCAGCCGCTGTACTGATGTACCTACCTGTCAGCCCTGTCTATATCCAGCCTCTGTACTGATATACCTACCTGTCAGCCTTGTCTATATCATGCCTATGTACTGATGTACCTACCTGTCAGCCTTGTCTATATCCAGCCACTGTACTGACACAATTACCTGTCGGCCTGGTCTATATTCAGCCTCTGTACTGACACAATTACCTGTCAGCCTGGTTTATATCCAGCCTCTGTACTGATGTACCTACCTGTCAGCCTTGTCTATATCATGCCTATGTACTGATGTACCTACCTGTGAGCCTTGTCTATATCCAGCCTCTGTACTGATGTACCTACCTGTCAGCCTGGTCTATATCCAGTTTCGTACTGATGTACCTACCTCTCAGCCTTGTCTATATCCAGCCTCTGTACTGATGTACCTACCTGTCAGCCTTGTCTATATCCAGCCTCTGTACTGATGTACCTACCTGTGAGCCTGGTCTATATCCATCCTCTGAACTGATATACCTACATGTCAGTCTTGTCTATATCCAGCCTCTGTACTGATGTACCTACCTGTCAGCCTGGTCTATATCCGGTTTCGTACTGATGTACCTACCTCTCAGCCTTGTCTATATCCAGCCTCTGTACTGATGTACCTACCTGTCAGCCTTGTCTATATCCAGCCACTGTACTGACACAATTACCTGTCAGCCTAGTCTATATCCAGCCTCTGTACTGACACAATTACTTGTCAGCCTTGTTTATATCCAGCCTCTGTACTGATGTACCTACATGTCAGCCTTGTCTATATCCAGCCTCTGTATNTAGAAAAGTATCCAGACAAACCTTGCTAATCAGCACAGTAAGTCAGTTCCCGCAAAGAATGTTGGTATAAACTCATTTTTAGACTTTTGCTCGTCAGGATTTTTATTGTTTATGTTTCATTTTTCCTGCATTTCTTCATCTTTGAAATCAAAGTGTTCGATTCTCGATATACATATTCTCTACACCCTTGAAATACTGTATACAATGTACTGGGAATGTTTTGGCCACAGTTTAACTGTATACAATGTACTGGGAATGTTTTGGCCACAGTTTAACTGTATACAATGTACTGGGAATGTTTTGGCCACAGTTTAACTGTATACAATGTACTGGGAATGTTTTGGCCACAGTTTAACTGTATACAATGNCTGGTCTATATCCATCCTCTGTACTGATATACCTACATGTCAGCCTTGTCTATATCCAGCCTCTGTACTGATGTACCTACCTGTCAGCCTTGTCTATATCCAGCCCCTGTACTATTGTACTTACCTGTCAGCCTTGTCTATAACCAGCCTCTGTACTGATGTACATACCTGTCAGCCTTGTTTATATCCAGCCTCTGTACTGACACAATTACCTGTCAGCCTCGTCTATATCCAGCCTCTGTACTGATGTACCTACCTGTCAGCCTCATCTAAAACCAGCCACTTTATTTGCCGCAGGCTTAGGCAGTTAGTACTCCTTATATGGTCAATCAGACGTCCTGGTGTACACACTAAGATGTTGATACCCTTCCTCAATCTGTAATACAAAATTGACATCACTCATCTATCAGTAATGTAACAAATAAAATCCTGAACATGTATTTAATCCATCAAATTCGTTCATTATTTCATTATTTCAAGTGCATGTAAAATTATGTACCTTGCTTTTTCTGCTTTCCGTTTTTCTCCACCAATGATACATCCTGGCACAATCCATCGAAATGGCTACAAAGCAAACACAGGAGATATAACTTCAATCTTCAATGTTATAACAAACACAATACGATTGTTAGGTTACAGAAAAGTATCCAGACACTATACGATTGTTAGGTTACAGAAAAGTATCCAGACACTATACGATTGTTAGGTTACAGAAAAGTATCCAGACACTATACGATTGTTAGGTTACAGAAAAGTATCCAGACACTATACGATTGTTAGGTTACAGAA